GTGCAGGATCTACAACAAATCATTCAAGTATTGGCACTCATCGAAGAATCATGCGTTGGCTATGGCTGTCGTGTTGGCGTATGACATGTATCTTGAGTGTACAACAGAGACCCCTTGCCACGAGTTCTTTCAACTTGACGACACAACAAGACTGAAGCTATCGAAAGGACCACTAAAGTTCCACGAGTTCAAAGACAAGTTGTCAATACAGATGCTAACTTACACTCCCGTAAATAAATTCTACCCTGGCGATCGTAACTTTCGTGAGGTCACTGAGATGACGATTGCAAGAAGGAACGCTAGGAAACGGCGTGCCACAACAACAGAGACGATGCCAACAGCAACGACCGGTATGTTAAACGATGAACAGTTTGCCATGATGATGAAGAAGAGGAAGGTGGTAAAGAGTCGATTTTGTGGTGACTTGACTAAATACAAACAACATCTCGCTTCAAAAGAAACGACGAATACGAGAAACAACTGTTTTGTTTGTGGGGACAAGACGAAGACGCGTTGTGGTATGTGCAGCGTCCCACTACACGGGCACGTCGAAAAAGGGAGTGTCAAAGGAAGGAGTTGTTACATGGATTATCATGATGAGTGTATGTTTGGTTTGTGTCGGAGTGATGTAGCATACTTTGGAAGGAAAAAGAAAGAGTGGTCTATGCCAACGGATAGCGAAAGAAAATCGAATACTGACCACTACAGAAGAATGGTATCCGGTGCACCGTCAACAAGATCAAGGTCACTGCCACCTCCTACTAGCGCCGGTAGTCTATCGTCGTTGACACAAACAACAGGGTCAGGAGGAGCATCGACTGCAACAACTTCGACAAGAAGAAGTAGGGGACGATCTTTGACAACACGTTCGGATGCAGCCTACAACGTGACAGAGGTATGAACAGACAAAACAAGACGTCCCGGCAGGGTCGTAAAATCTACACAATTTCCTACTAGTAAGAAAATATGCACCTTGAGAGCGCATTTTAATTATTTGGAAAATATTATTAGAATAGTGCACTTTGAAAGTGCACCCTGCGCGCAGCCCTGACCAAACGATAAATATTATTTTGAGCATGTCTGCCTTACCAGGTACGTTGTAGCGGTAGTTATCTACCGTACCAGGTACCCCCCCCTGAGTGGATCACCTTGTCGTGGTAGGGGGGCTTAACCCAGGTTTGTCAGAGCCTGGGGAACTAAGAATCCACAGACGATCTATCAGTGCAACGGAAGAGATCGTCCCAGCGGTAGTACAAACGACTGCTGTCTTGTGCATGGCATCATGCAGAACCGGTGGAAAGATTGTGTTTCTCTTATTTAGTCGGAAGGGGGCTAAGGGAGAGGAGGAAGAATGCTAAATGCATGATTCCTGATAGAGTTGTGATGGGCACTGACATTTCTGTGAAAGAAATGGCATCATAACTCAGCCGAGTGTCATATCAAGTGCAGAGGGACGGTACTATTTCATTGGAAATATTACTGGTGCTTGGCATGGAAGGCTTCTTTTACACGTACAATCCGCCCTATTGGGTTGCAACAGGTAAAAGATATCAACACACCCAACACAATTTATGTGGTTAATTGCTGCCTTCCCAGTATTGTTTTTGGAAGACCACGCCATATCTGACAATCACTGGTTTGGACTTTTCCTCATTCGTGAGGTTTTTTGCCTTTCCAGTACTAAGTGGTGGGCAACAGGGTACTGAGTGGAGGGAAAGCTGTTGCATAATTTGCCCCGCCCCCTTGGGGGCCAGGCGGGTGAGTCAACTTCTTAGATACGGAACTGCCGGTAGCTAGTAGTTGGCGTAGCCATAAAATAGATTTCATTATCGTTACCGTACCAGGTACCGTACTCTACCATGTACTCCGTAGTACGGTAGGTACCCGGTATCATATATATAGAGCACAGTACCGGTAGCTTTGGCATAGGTAGAGGACACGTGATGCTAACTGTAAGGCCTAACAGTAAGTACCGGTACATAGACTATCGTACCTGATAGTACCAGTACCTACCTACCGTAGGTACCTAACGGTACGAAAATTACGGTACTCCTATGATACAGTCATTGAGATGCACTACCGTACTCTCTCTCTCGACCGGTGGCTACCGTAGCTAGAGTACCAGAGAGTTGTCTATCACCTTATTCCTACCGTAACTCTACTACCGGTACTTGTAGGTACCGGTAGGTACGGTAGTACCGTAAGGCCATACCAGATACCAACAGTAATAACTCGTCCATAATTTTATAATATAATATTATTATTATATAATAATACGACGTATAATAATACTCCCAGTATGACCATGAATTCGGTAGGTGGCAGATGGCTGACGCCAGTTGAAGAAACGCAAGCACAAAATGACGTTACTATTTTGATAGCAATTTTTATGGCTATGCCAACTACCGTACAACTACTACTACCTAGCTACCGCCAATGGTAGTTCCGTATTTACAGTTAAGAAGTTGACTCATGACGTTGTACTGGAGTAGTGATAATAATAATAGAACTGCAGGAGAAGAGGGCAACTACCGTATTCTATTCTCTACCTACTACCGGTAGTAGAAAGAGAGAGAGAGATAAGACTGATGACAAGCCAACATTTTTGAACAATATGGGACGAAGCGTTTGTTGCATACCGGGAACTGACCAGCTTATTACTAGTCGTAAACCTAATGGAGTTCAATTACTGGATCCTTGCGTTCGGTACACCGGCAAAGATCTTGACAAAACTGCTGGTCCTGAGTAGGATAAGGCGGCCTAGATTTAGAATGTACTCATCGTAGAAGATTGGGGTAAATCTAGAACGACGCGATTGCAACCTTGTGATACTCCAATGAAAATATTGGGTATCGACAGTCGATCTTGCACTCCGACAAACTCATTTGGCCCTACGTCTTTGGAGGAGGAAGTGAGAGTACAATACTTGTCCGGCACAAAGATCCACTCAAGCATAAAAGCGACTATTAGTTTTTCGTCGTTGACCGTAAGGAATGACGGAGTTTTAGAAACACTTTGGAATGTTTGTCAAGCAATGTATAGTTAAAGATTTACACTAGCGGTACTGTATATTTTGCATAGCTTCGTGAGAGTCGCACTCTCCCACGGTGGTGTCCTTTCAAGCCGAAGAACGCCTTCGGCTACGAGGGTACGTTGGAGACATGTCCACCGGAAAAACGATCTTTGGTGCAACTTTGTGAGCGCTTCCGTTGATGCTTAGACTCGCACAAGGCATGCTCGGCATTCGGATGTTCGAATAATCCCATGAATTATTACGGATAGGTGCAGTTAGACCTGCTACGCAATCATTCTGCGCATCTAGGCCGCCCCATCTGCTATCACGTTTTGTTTCTGTCCTCTCCGACAAACTTCGATGCAAATTGGATCTACGGAAGGATGATGAACGTGTGCCACGACAGGGGAGCCTGGCGTTATCGTTCACCAACACAAAATCTTTACTCTTGTTTTGAGTGTTGTGGAGTCTGTCACCGTTGCTCACTCTGTCTTGTGGCTCATCTTGGAGCTCTTCACTCGTGCACATGTGCCAATCGGACGAATGGTCAACCACCAATAGCGCATCGCTCAGCAAATGAGCCATGAAGCGACCCAAGGCGGATCCAGAGCGATGTTTGGTAGAAGGAGAATCTTCCACCAAGTCGAGAGTTTGTGAAAGTTGCAGGATCATGGCGCTGTTGGCTGTTTGCCTGCCCTTCCGAACAGAGATGTCCATCTTCATCGGTTTACCGATGATGGGGATGTTGGCGGTCTCGCCGTGGGCGTCTGGTGCGTGAATCATTGCGGCGTTGGTTACCAAAAAAGTAGGATGATCAAATGCTCATATTCCGATGTCTGTGATTTTTCTTGGCAGTTTTTTTACACCAGAAGTCCCTGTTTGTGTGGTGATTATAATTGGCGGTCGTGAAGAATGTAATAATAAGTAGTACAGGCAGCGCACCAGAACGTCTACCACGTATCATAATTCTACGTTCTCGTGACATCAAGACGCTCATGACATTTTCGATGTCCTTTCAGAGCTAAGAGAGCAATCGATACTTAACCGAAATCAAGAGCACATCAAATAATATCGCAACTAAGCCTGCAGTCATTATCTGCCCCATTGTGTTTCCATAACACTGGTGGAGGCGGTCATAGTCCCTCGTTTTCAGAACGCGTCGTAGATCGCTCTGCTGCATTGAAGTTTGTTGTTTAATTGTCGCAAATGTTTTCAATTAATATTCAAGATCAAGTTTCTCTCCGTCGATTAACTATTTTTGTATTGGATCCTACTTTCATCTCGCAGCGACAATGATTTATCACTTCACCATTCGTCGTTTGCACTCCGGACTCCGGAGTAATATTTACAGAATATATATATATATATTGATGAAGTAAACTGCATTCGCCGTTTACTCCATCCATTTGACGCGATGACGAGTGATGAAGTGATGAACTACCGGTACTCCGTGTGTTGCACTTTCGTCGATGGTAAATTTTTGGTTGGTCGTACGGATCAAGCAGCATGAGGAATGCAGCAAGTTTGAAGTGCATCACAGATCACAGATCATTATTCGTTCTCTCTGATAGCAACTCTCTAGCTAGAGAAATCCCGAGTAGAATTTTAAAGTAAATTCAAGATGGCAGAACCTTTGTCGAAGAAAAATGTGCATTCCGCAAGCAGCAAAAGTACAGTGCCTCAAGAGGAGGAACCACTACTGTATGAGGAAAGGCTTTCTCACCGAGCCTTTCGTAAAAGTAAGAGCACTCTTGCTCCCTCTAGTAGACCAAGATTAAAATGGCCAATCGATCACGGACATTAAAAGTCCATGAAGCACAGCTACTTTGGCCAATATCTTACAACGGATCATTCTTTTGCCAAAAGTGCCCTCTTGTTAGGTTTTGAGGCAATCATGAATTTGAGTATGAGATGATTCAGAAAAATAATCACCAGGATGGTAGTACTACAGTTCCTGACAAAATTAGAGCTCTGGTTTCAAAGAAACGTGCGCAAGGTTGAATCGAACAACTACGGCGCTAGCCGTCCACAGGTTTGAAGCCTGCGCCCAACACCAGTCAGGATCATGCACACCCTTTGGGGTTAACGCAAAAACTACTAAAGATAAAAATACTACAGAGTAGACCTCAGTGACCACATGAGAATGGTACGTCAACAGCCAAACTTTGATTTTGAAATTTGTATTGATACAGTAGCAGTTATTGCTGCCATCTCCTGGACTTGGTTTTTACGCCTTTCCAAGAGAAGCCAACTTCTTTGCTTCTTCTACAGCAAGTGCCTTAGCTCGCTTGTCCAACTTGGCCTGGGTCTTGAGACCCATGATACCACCTCCCCACTTTCTAACCAGTTCTGGATTGTTGTTGTACTTTTCCTTGGCCAAATCTTGCAAGAGGGAGAGTTGGGAAGCATCGCCCTTGTCGACACCGGTCAAGCAAATGCAGGCAGCATTCTTTTGGTGAACCAAAGCACCAAGACGGGCCTTGTCTTTCACAATCATGAATGGCACTTGCATTTTACGGCAAAGAGCAGGCAACCACATGACCAGCTCGATGGGATCGACGTCGCATGCAATCAAGACCAGTTGCGCCTTCTTTTCCTCGACCAACGTTGTGACATGCTTCAATCCAAACTTGATGACATTGGGAGCTTTGCTGCCAGCGTCGTCCTTTCCAGCGGCCTTGGCTGCAGCAGCTTCCTTGAGACGCTGCTTCTTGGCCGCAGGGGTCTCGGGACGATATTTATTGAACAAGGTGAATACTGTCATGGCCTCGTTCTTACCAAGAGTCTTCGTGAATTGGTTGATGGAAGGAGGAACCTTCAAACGTTGGTACAAGACTGCTCGTTGACGTTGGATACGGACATACTTGGGCCATCGAACAAATCGACTCAAATCACGTCCTTGAGGTCGAATGTCACCACCGATACCTGTTGCACGAGGACGTGGAGGGTACAGAGGGTCAACAGCCTTGACTGCCTTGGGCTTTTCGTCCTTCTTCGATTTCTTTCCTTTTGGAGCCTAGAGAACATAGCGCGGACGAGAGAGCAAAGTGAGAAAGTGGATCCAGCATAAATGGGGATGGTATGGTGAAACTGAGCGCGTGACTTACCATGGTTGCAAGTTGGTCAGGGGTGGGGAATTGTGCACTACCAAGAGCAACGAAATTTCCATGTATTGTTGGTTAAAAATAACCTCACTAACAGTAACAGTAAATATTCTGCAGCCAAGTAAAGATCGGTAAGAAGTAAATATTCCCGATCCCTAATGATAGTACTGCACCCCTACAGCTCCTACAGTAGTACTACGGATAGTACTGGTAATACCGTAAATTATTTGGATCATTTATTTCGCGCCGGGGGAGTTCCGACTTCTCTCTCACAAAACAGGGACTACACCCGTCGACATTTTTGTCCACTGTTGGCTTGGGTTTCACCCTTCTTGATAGGCACACTTCCACGGCCCGGTATTCCAGTACATCTCTTCATGCGTGCATTCTCAAAAGACGTCACACGAACGACAAGACTTGCGGGAGGAAAAAAGAAATCATTAGCCAAAATCTTATTATTCTGGTCCACCACGGCCGAAGTCCGGTCCAAAAAGCATGCTCCAGTAGTTTGCCCATGTCACGGCGTCACTGGCATTTACAGCGAACTCGAAGTCAGTGTACCAGTGAGGGTTGTATCCTTCATCAAATAATAAAGAACAGATACTGCCATGCAGAGTGGATATGGCAATTCCATTCGCAGTGCCGATGATAAAGAGGAGAGGACAGGTCGAAGAATTGTGTCGACGAGTCGTCTGGCAGCGACACATAACAAACGACACAAAATCGCCCTTCGCGATTCAGTATCCAAAATGATCCAATTCATCACATTACAATCCTCCATTGTTTTTGTTGGACTGATCTATGGAGCAACTACATTTGCGCAAACATTCATTGACGACGGAGTGTGTGGTTGTAGCCCACAAACATTCACTTTCAATCTTGATTTCAGCTTGACCTGTCCTCCGACCAACATCACATCTGGAGGTGGTGTCGCCGCTGTCTCGTGTATTGTGAGTCCTTTTGGGGCTTCGTCGGATGATTTGACTCCTATTGTTGTCGAAAGTGTCAGTGTCCTAGAATTAGATCAATCCAACAGCGTTCTGGTTGAGGAGCGGATTGTAGGAAATTTGTTGGATGGCGACACTTTTACGTATACGTCTGTTATTGACAATACCGAATCCATCACCAGCTTGGAACAAATCCCAAAAGCTATTCAACTCAATCTCAATGGAAGAAATATGGACGGCGTGGTACTTCTAAATGTTTTCATCATCACCTACAGCAACGAATGCGGTGTCATTCCGGTCATACGTGATGAATACAGTGCTGGATGGGTGATATTTGTAAGTTCAAAGATTGCTGCAATTTGCTTGTTTATGATACGATTGTCTAATTTGCTAATATCCGCCTGTGATGATCAAACCTTGAGTAGACTGAGCACGGGGAAATCGAATCTCAGTTTTGCCCCACCCCTCAGCCCACTCAACAACCCACCGTAGCGCCCACGAACGATCCAACTTTTACCCCAACCCCAGAACCCACAATCCAGCCTTCTCACACGCCCATAATCCAGCCGACGTTATCGCTGAACACATCTGAACCTACCAGAATTCCAACGACTGCACCCACAATTGGACCACCGGGGATACCACCAACTACGCCCAACCCGACAAGTCAGAGGCATACGAGTGAACCATCACCAGGGCCCGCAACGTTACCAGTCACTCTCTCGCCATCACATTCACCCGGCTCTTCTCCAGTCAATGATCCCACTCAACGACCTCCTTCCTTGACTGATCCTTTGACGCCCACGGGAGCTTCCTCCGCCCCATCCACCAGTGAAGCGACAATTGAACCATCGGGCGTCGCATCATCAGCTATTCCCACTATCATATCTCGATTTCCCACCATTGACATGTCTATGTCCATGAGACTCAATTTTCCCTGGGGCGATAAGGAAGAGCTCCGATCGTCGCTTTTCATCAACGAACGTACCGGTGAAAAGAGATTAGATCTCCTACGGGAATACGTTAACGACTAACGGTAACAAGCGTGGATCTATCTAGCTAGGGATAGAATACTGCGATCTTCAAAAAAGCTACTCGAAGTAAAAAAAGGACTTTTTCTAGCTACGACACAATTACGACGCATATTACGTAAGGTTGTAAGCCCTTGAACCTGAATTCCGACATCATGTAGCAGCAATATTTGGCAAGTCTCTCTAGCTAGCTAGAAGACCACCATCATCGTGGTTTTGAGACGTTCAGCTGGTTGAAAAAGTACCAGTGAGGGAATATGATACCGGTACCACTGTACAGTGCGGTAGTACGAACCTGTACTGATTACGGTAACGCGTACTACCGGTAGTCTACGCTTAATTTGCGGTTGTCTACTGTCATCATACTTCGTACTTGAAATACGGTACTATCAACTACCGGTACCGTACCGCCACTACAGGTAGTAGTACCTACCGGTAGACGACCGTTAACGGTAAGCGCCCCATACCTATCTACGGATGGGTCATTAGCCAATTCACGCCCTATTTTTATTTAACTACTACGTGACTAGCAACCCCCAAAAAATGACCGTGACACTTATGGTGTCATGACCCTTCGGTTCCGTGATTTTGTTTACCGTGTATACCGTCGAAAAACAGCCAAAAGAGGAAGAGGAGCAACACCCAACATGATCATGTCGAATTCTTCCATTCCGTCGGTACAAGTTTGTATGCATGGCACATCATCCGGTTTGCTGGCTGTGAATTCATCCCTGTCCGTACACTTTGCGTTGTTATAGTGCCACCGTCAAACGAAACCAGCAGAATCACCAAACATGTTTTTATGCATACCCCTTTCCCAAGGAACCTGTTTCGATGTGCGGCATCGATTCCGTTCTGACGGAATTATCATCAGTGACGACAGAGTCGGAAGCGTCGCCGTCCCGTAGAACGTTACTGTTGGATAGATTACGCAAGTCATTACGTCATTACCATCTGCATGTGTCACGAATGAGTTTGCGAATGTCTGTGACTTTCATGCCAAACGTTTCCAATATTCCTTTGCTGGTAGAACGATCCTGGCATCTTCCGGACGAAAACGATACACCCGCCCACATTGTCCGCATTCCCAACCACCCATCGACTTGTTAGTCAACGACTCCACGGTTTGTCTCATGTATCAACGTCACATATACATGACTTCAAATCAATTGTAGACCGGAAACCGCCTCATCTACGTTTCCGTGTATCACGTGCTTTGGTACTTGCATTGAGTCACCCGCGTACTTGCATCTTGCTCCTTCCAATATATGGAAGTTCTGTCTCCCGGAAGGACGCGACAGACTCGACAATTCTGTACCAAGATTTTTCCGTTCCCTGAAAGGAAAATTGAAAGGAAACAACAAAGATTAACGTCAGATAACCGATAGCATGCATTCTTCAAGCTGTGTATACCTATCTCTTTACCCCTCTCACCGTTTTACCATTGTGGCTATTTGTCTTCCAAGTGTTTGTCTTCCAAGTGAATGTAACTGCGAATGGCAAAGTCAATGTTACAATGCTAAGAAGTGTCGTACTCATCACACGCCCGTTTTTGCAAGACCAAGCCACCGCTTGCCAGCCCTTTCCCCCCGTTAAAATGAATTTGAAATTCTTCCAACCGATGGTAACCTAAAGCAAAGACACGGCCAGCTCCCTTTTTCGAAATCTATCCCATGAAATCGATTGCAACAGACGCATGGCCTTCTTGACTTTCTATTTGTTTAAAAGAATGTTGTATTCGTTTCTATAGATAGGTACTGGTGGATCGTGAGACAGTATCATCTTTGTCCAATGACGGTATACGCCACGTGAAATATTCGTAAGCAATAATAGACTGCCTTCCAATGACTACGACGTTGTACGCGTTTCCTACGCACGGCCATGTTGTTCCCGCCACAAAACTTCATTCCACCTGCCAACTGGCTGAATCGTTGTGGTGGCTGTTGTTGAAATGTTTCTTTCGTGCGAGTTGCCGTCTTACATCGATTGAA